AAGACAATGAAACAAGCCACTCGGGCACACTCTCGATTAATAAGACCATGAAGAGGCTAGCCTGAGCCTCTCACAATTCGGGCGGCATTGGCCATCTCCCCTTCTATAAAATTCTCCTTTGTTCTGCACAGAAGTGTCGATAATTATTGATCACGCAAAGGAAAGTTTCGAATGGGCTACTCAGCAACGGTGAAAATGTAGTTCGGGGGGGGGGGCACCCTATCTAATCGAAGTGGAGTTGCGGAAAGACACTCATATCTAATCAAAGTAGAGTTGCGGGAAGGCACTTATATCTTATCATATCTTTCACTGAGACCGTGGCCTACGACTAGTACGCTTACCCTTGTCATATTATTCTATGGCTAAAATGGCTGCTACCTTCACTTTCACCAAACCTTCTTGCGACTGCCATGCGAGCCCTCGAAGAAAGGCCTTCAGGTATCCGATTTTGTATGGAATCGGTTGGTATCCCTATCTAATCATACACTCAGAGACTGTGTCTGGATGTTGATTAGATATGACCGCCCTTCCGCAGCTCCACTTCGATTAGATATTGTCAGTTCGATTAGATATTGAGTGGCCCCCTCGAACTACATTTTCACCCTCAGCAACATTTCCATTTATCTTCACCATAAAATTCAGCGAGTTGCGCTGGCCCAGGGGATGCAACCAAGTCCATTTCTATTAATCACAGCTTTTCGGAGCAGAAATAGGCCCATTAGTAAATCGGATATTCTCACTTATTTCTGTGCTCCTAGGGGGACAGCTAAAGAAGACCCCTAGGCAATAAGAAAATAGTAAATACCAAGTGACACATGGAACATCTTCCACAGCGCACCTAGTCACTAACAACAAGGTGACAACCAACTGCTGGCTTCGTAAGTATAATCAGGCAGTGGGAGGCAGCATAATAATACTAGTTATCTGTTATCCAAAGTTGGCATCGGCCTTCGATGGATCAACAACTGCTCTGATGCAATGTGAGTGTTGTTTTGACATTTTCCTCGAACTTTGCTCATTTGACTCCCACTCTTGACGCTGGCGCAGAACTGGGTCAAATTGGGTCTCAAAGGGTTACCAAAAAAGGAATGGAATTATCCCCCAACCTCTTAGATTGCCTTTGAGTTCAAGAACTAAGCATTATCATTATGTGGGAGAGAAAGAGACCAAGGACGTGAGCAAGTTTCAGTTCCTCTCACTACTAGGTTTAGTTCTAGAG